CATCTTGGTCTTCATACCTTGGATAAAACACATAGTTTAATAGGAGGTATGAAGACCAAGATAGTGTGGTCTAAGTCTTCCTACCAACATGACCAAGTTGCGAAAACAAGGTCAAACAACTTCTTTACCACGAAAGGAGACTTCGACCACACAGAAGGCCACAAAATCTTGGTCTTCATACCTTCGATAAAACACATAGTTTAATAGGAGTTATGAAGACCAAGATGGTGTGGCTTTTTGTGTGGTCGCAGTCTCCTTTCGTTGTTTTAAAAAGTTGTATGACCTTGTTTTCTCAACTTGGTCATGTTGGTATGAAGATTGAGAGAAACACACCTTGTCCGGAGTCCATTGTATGCATCATCATTTCCAAAGTGGGACCGTGGACGTAGTACATTCCCAGACGTTCCGCCGGCCACGTCAGTGACTCTCGCCGTTGTCAGCACCACACAACATCCGATCCTTTGACCAAACGTGTGATTACCAGTTTTACTATCTTCCCTTCTGCCCTAGACCATTCACATCTCCTGTATCCTCCGATCACACCGTCACTGTTACAATTTCGATGTCGTGTGGTGTGCTCCTGTGGGCGGCATTCATGAAAACCCTTCACACTTCACGCTGTCGTCCCCACCCTGTTTTCATCCTTGTACTGGGAATGTTGATCAGATTCTGCCATATTGTTGCGTAGTCTTTCTTCCCTAGGTCTTATCACAGGCTCTCTCTTGCCCTGTAAGATCCGTCTACTCTCTCTCTCTCTCTCTGATTCACATATTTCATTCGTCTCTGGTACAACAGACTGTTTCTATCCGAAATACCAAGTCTATGAATTGCCATGCTCTAGTCGCTTGTGTGCCAACCCATAAATGTTGTGGTACTCCTTGCTTGGGTTAGGTTCACTGTCGAACCACAACGTGTGTGGGTTGTTTTTTTTTACGAAATCCACTTCATTCTCACCAAAATCCATTCTTGCTGGTGGATGCCTCGTGGACTGGACCGATCGGAAATCGGTTGTCTTTTGCTGCAATTGACCCATAAATGTGTGATCTCTTGCGGATATATCCACATTTATTGGCTGTCGACTAGTTTCGGTTGCTGGTCTGCTCGTCTGCTGGTGTGTTAGTGTGTCAGTGTGTTTCAACCTGGCAACCGGATGCTTCTGGCGTCACACATAAAAGTGTGTGCCGGTGGTGGAGACAATCAGAATCACCAAACCCCAGCATCGGACGGCGAAACGGGAATGGGGAAGGATACAACAGCCAATCGCTTCGCTGACCAGATCCTATTTCGGCCAGCATCTGCTCATTCCAGGACCTATTTGCCCACAAAACCAGACGACCATTCCCACTCCACTCCACTCCACTCGACTGGGCTTTCACTTTAATCTCATCGTCAGCCTCCCCGACGCCAATCGAGCCCGGCTGACGGGCATCGCGACGAAGCTGACTACTTGAAGCCT